TCTGAATTCCTTGAGGGAATGGGGGATCTGGATGCAGTTTAAGCCAGGAACAGATTTGTTTGCTAATGATTGTGGCCATGATAGTATGATGAGTGAGAGCTTTTCACACTTGTCCAACCCCTGCCAATTTAAGCCCCCTTCATTACCGCCTTGGAGGGAAAACTGAAGGTCTATGCCAAACAAATCTGAAAAGGTGGTTCTCTGATCTTCTTACAGCAGTGTCTTGCACAATTTCCCCCCACAACCTAACAGTCTTACCCATCCTTATCTCAGACCAAGATATGTAAGGCCAAATGTTGCATGTTTTACAGCTGAAGCTGCTCTGAAAACATAAGGTCCTTATTAGCTAAAGTAAAATGATGCCTCTTTGTTGTTTTTGAACCATAGGCATGTTTTTTGAGGCTTTCTGGCCACACAATAGGCTTGACCTTTCACTCAAGAGATAAAAATGGCATACACTGCTGCATATACTTCAAAAACACTCCCCTTGGTATAAGATAGAAGCTGTGATTATAAATGGTAGGCACATGAGAGGATTTTAATTTGATTAGGTCCCACATGTCTTAGTTACATGGGAAAGACTCATAACATAGTGTTAAAAAGTACAAAGCAGAAAACAATATACAGCAGATCCCTGATAAACAGGAGGGTTACGTCTCTGGACTTCTGAGAATTCCCATGTTGGGACTACCACCAGAACATACAACAGAGAGTATATAGAGCATGTAATCACTTAGTGACATCATAGCTGTGAGTTGCCAGTGAAAAATAGTATTACTTTTAGCTAAAAGTCATTAAATATTTATACCTCATTTTTCTCTCACTTTCCTTAGCGTTAAGTGTTGGCTCCCTTTTTGAGACCACTTTTGGCTAGAGGAAACTAAGTATTTTATCACTTCATAAAAAATGACTGCATAAGTGACACCAGCAGAGAGCAACAAAGCCCTCATGGGATGAAACCACTGGGCAGCTGGGTAGGCTCAATTGTTGGGTCTTACAGGGCAATGGTCTTAAATTCCTGCCTCAGAAAACCACAAGTTACTACACGTCATGGATGGTCAGGCTTGCTTTTAGAAGAGCGGAAACAAAGAATTGCTAAATATTGAATTCCAGGTGTCACTGTATAGAGTATGATCTCATCTATACAATGAGCTATAGACAAGATTGGAGAGAAACACAGAAAAGCCAGTAACAATGGTTATCTGTAGGCACTGGGGATTATTAATGAGTTTTATTATTCTCACTATAACTTTTTATCAATGTATCTAGTTGTCTAAAAATGCTATAAAACATAAAAAATATATTTTGAAGAGAATAGGTTAGATGCCTTCTATCTTTTTAGCTTCAAGAACCAGGGGATGAATTAATCTATAACCATGGTAGCCAGGGGACATCACTGGAAAGGGAACACAATGAGACAAAAAAGTAAGGAAGAGTGAAAAAATGTGATGGGAAAATGAAGGAAGAAAAGAAAGAACCAAGAACTTAAAACTGGACAGAGGTCCAGTTCAGGTATTCCTGAAACTCTACAGGCCACTAGTGATCCAATCCTATCCTGGATTGCTACTGATTTAGGACAATTACCAGAAGTTGTTCAATTTCCTAAAACTAAAATGATGACAGGTACTTACAATTATTGAGTTTGAATTGGAAGGATCACGGGCACAAGATGAAGCAGGATTTAGAAATATTGTGGTCATTAAAAGGTTTCATATAGCAAATAAGACCACGGTAAGTAAATCTGACACCAAGGAAATTTAGATAATTTTAGATAATTCGTTCCAATGTATAAGTTTACTTATAAGAAAGCAAAATAATGAGAAGAGTGAAGCTACTATGAAACACAAAGAGTAGGGATCAGGGGGCCTGGCTACTGGTGATCAAATCTACTTTATTTCTGCTTTCTTGTAGGTTAGCTGTATAGAAATGAGAAAATTCTTACTACAACATAGAAGTTTCCTAAGGGTAACAGTTTTAACAGCTTCTCTTACAATTTTGGGATACTTAAATTTTCAATCAAACATAGTAGAAGAACTTGGTAAGTATTTATTTTACTAGTACTTTTTATATAATTATAACAATTTTTATAATTTAACAGCTTGAATCAGTTAAAAGTAGTTGTTTAATATGTTTGATTATATCTTTTGTGAATTACTGCTTAACAATTCTTTAAAATATGTAAAATGAAACTTAATGAAACAACTCTGTGGGACAAAAAGTTCTATGGGCACAGTTTTGTAATCCAAGAATTTAATGCAATAAATAGTCCTCTCACCTCCACTTTGTGGGTGAGAAAACTGAGGTCCAGAGGGTAAAGTAATAAGCTTAAAGTTGCAAAATTATTTAGTGCCCGTTTTGCCATTCATGATACTTGTCTTTCCCAAGAGGTAATAAACTTGGCTATCTGAATGGGATTTTGCTTCTAAAACCTATAGTAGGCCCCAAATTCTAGCATGTATTGGGAAATGAATGAATATCTCAATGACTAGATATTAATTCCTTATTGTCTTTTGAGACAAGTTCTCTTCATGTAGCCCAGGCTGGCCTAGAACTTGCTATGTAGTTCAGTCTAGCCTAGAATTCACTATCTTCCTTCCTCCACCTTCCAAATTCTGGGATTATAGACATGCACCACCACACCTTGCTCTAATTTGTTTTGAAATTCAAATATATGTGAATTTATACTAAGAACGTCTTAGTACGAAAGCTCTTTTGAGACTTTCTAATTTGGTTTAATGTCATTATGTCACTCTTGGTTTTACTATTCGACTGTAGTTATAGAACAGTTGTTCGACGGTTTAATTCTGCTGAAAGTTGGGAGAGCAGACCTAGAGTCTCTTCTATCTGTTTTTCTCAGAAATTTTCTCTCAGAATTCAGAACAGTTGCGTGGCTTCCAATACCACAAAAGAGCTAATGACTTTCATTCCATTCTTGAAGTACCTTTAGGGTATACTCCACATTTCCTAAGGCAGTTTTCTCTTAAGCCTCTCCTACTGGTAAGTCTTAATTTGTACAGCTTTGTCTAATTACTTCTTCAGTAAAAAAGCAACTTCCTGACATTTGCTTCTACCTTCTTTTTTCCTTTTCCTTTTCTCACTTTTCTTTCTTCTTTTTTAAAATAGCCACCTGTCTCAACATTTATACATGTGCTACATTAGATGTTTTAAAAGAACACAGGACATAGAAAAAGCATAAATTGCACAGGCAGATTTTTTTCAATGTAGTCTTTCACTTTTGGATAATAAGAAATGGGCCAAAACTGTACTCCCGCAGAGAAGAATGGGTAAAAATCCAAGGCCAGAAACAATGAATAAATTTTTGATTTTTAGCATTTTCTTTAAATTATTAACAAAATACTTTTATTTCACAACTGTCTTCTATAATCATTTCTTCATTTTTTTCCTGGTAGGGAAAAGATTTATGGAGTTGTGGGGTAATGAATCCTTCATCTCTCCTAGAAATACGTATACAAATTGTCATAGAAATGTGTAAACAGGACTTTCAAAGTCTTTATATGGCTGAGCTGACCTGTCTAAATTGGAATAAATATGATTTTTTACACACTGGTCCTTCTGTTGTAGTTATGTATAAAAATGCATAAATGGAATAATTTTTAAAAAGAGTTCAATTGCATGGGGCTGTGTCAACATAGCTGAAAATATCTCAAATACCTAATATTTCCAAAATAAATCCAAGAAAAAATTTAACACCTTATTTAGTTTTTATATCATATCCAACTTTTTAAATACATGATATACTGATATAATATGAAACTAAATTAAACTTCACCTAAATTTTATAGCTATAAAAATGTCTATTCTTTCTCTTCCTTTAATGAGTTCACTTATGATGTACCTTACGGTATCTTAAATGTAATTAACTTCTGGTACCTTAAATTTAATTAATAATAACAATATCACATCACATGTAGAATTTGTGAAGATAAGATAGAAAAAAATACAATAATATAAACTTTTAAAAATTAATAGCAGAAAACAGAAATGAAAATTGCCTTGTCTACACTCTAAAGACAGAATGATTTGCATCCCATGCAGTATTTCCTATGTAGTATTTTAACTATTCAGAACTTTCTTTTCATGCCTATATAATTAGTAGAGTCTGATTTTAAAATATAACATTCAAGTGGTCAAGTGTGTCTTAGAAATCTAAGGAGTTTGGCAAGGATACTTGACCTTTTGGTCTTTGTGATCACTCGTTGTTTTTGTAGGGGAAGAATTTTCTTAGACCCCCTAAGAAGGATGAGTTGAAAATGACTAAACTGTTGCTAAAAAGAACCACTAGCACATGTAGCAGGTGTTAAAGCAAATGTGATTACTTATCATCTAAGGTATTTCATTTGTCAAGCTGTTTAATGATCCTGCAAATAATCTGAGGGCCAATTATGGTTTCCACAGAACAAACAATATGTGAAAGTTTTCAATGTTTAACTCTTTAAAATTCTTCATTTAAAAGATCTTCAAAAAATCTGACCTTGGAAATAAGTCCTGCTTTCTATTTAGTGAAGAATGAGTTTATTCAAAGGTAGAACTATTCTAAGGCTGGTTCTGACCTAATTGATCAGTGTAGACTAATTAGGTTAGAATAGATCAGCTGTATGATCATGTACCTGATCAGAGACAACGGAAAAAGATGGAAAGAAACCTGAGAACATTGTGTCATCACATTGGTTAAGAATGTCGAGTCATTCATAGGCCTGGACTTTGTTAAGTAAATAAACAAGAAATGAAAAGAAATCAGAAGAGAAAGTGACTTTGAAGAGTGTCTCACCTAAAAAGGAAGTGCATAGGTCTTGAGACAGCACCACATGGCAGAAAGAGCAAGGAGCACGGGGACTAGTAACATAGAATTAGAGTGGATATTGGATACCAGTACTCATGATACTCATGATTTACTTTTATGAAAAATTCATTTTAACTTAAGAAGCTGATTTGAAACCTGATTTGTCTTTATGATAAATGAACTAGTACATTTGACTGACCTGGCTGGACAGGGATCCAAGTTGCATTCCTGAAGCTTGGGTTTGGGTTTAATATTCTCTGGGTAATAGTGACAGTACTGATCACCAACCACACGGTTGCTCCGGAGATCATAACACTCAGCCGATGTCAACTGGTAACCTGCAGGTATCAAACCAACCAGGCAAGTTTAAAAGCACAGGCCAACACAATACATTTCTTTTGATTTTTGGCTATCTCACATTAATGGAAATTATCCCCCCAGGCCTCAGTCATTTCCAATGGGAAAAAAGACATATAACTGGAAGGCTCGTTAATTTTTGCTGGCCTCAAATACTGGATTTTTCTCAAGAAATCCACTCATTTTAATAATTAAATTGTATTATAGGGCTTGAATTACATAAGGGCATAGCCAGATTATAAGACTTGGTGGGAAGAGCTACTCTGTTGCTTTTGTGCAATATAAAATATAACGCAGAATTCTGCATCCAAAAAAGACCACTTGTATTTATTTACCAACCATCTTATGGAAGGATGCTAACTTGCCTCCTTAGCACCTGAGGGCACTAGAAAGAATAAACTCTCAAATAAATAAATATAATCGATACCGACATTGCCACTTTGGACAATGAGGATTGATAGAGTATAGCACAGGATCAGACCCTACCCATGGCCAGGCAACGTTATTTTTGCCTAAATTCAACCTGAATGGGTTGAACTGAATCTATGGACAATTAAGATCCCAATAGCAGCCACCAAGAATCCTGTTCTTTCACAGAACTTAAGAAAAAAATCCAATAACAACAACCAAAATAACTCCTTCCTGCTGATTAACTTCTACTTTCTCCAAAAGTCATTTGACATTTCTCTTTAAATTAAGCCTCTGGCCCATACTTCTTAGACTCTATCTGCAAATTTTCACTGTTTATAGCTGCCTCTATTTTTAAAAAGTTGCTGGGTAATAATAATTTTCTTCATAATGTGCTCTACCTTTACCTGCTTTTTTATTGTCTTGTACATTTCTGGAAGGGTAGTGATCAAGACTTTGATTCTTGGGGTGTCTGATAGGTATACATAGAGAATTAAAAAAGTTGTATCCTTCTAATCCTAGTCAACCCCCCAAATATATCTCCCTAGCATGGGGATGAGTTTGATTATTGCTTAATAAGTATTAGGAAGCAAGATTTAAAACTATAAGGTACTTGCAAAAGATTTTAGGAAATCAGGAGGATTTTAAGACAGATTTCCTGGCTGCAGGCTGAATTCTCAGACCACCTACAAAAATTAATTGTTCATTAAAGACCTAAAAAAAAGACCTCTTAAAATTCCACTGGAAAGATGAAAAGCATGGAAGGTAATGAAAGCAATGGGTAAGAACACATGCTCCATATAATTTTTTGCTTTATAGGAAAATTAATAAGCAAAATGATATTTTTAATATTTACTTTTCAAATCCATTGTGCTCCAAACCAGCTAATTTTATAATAAGATAAACATTTTATAATTTTCCATATAACAATTTCTACTTAAGGACAGAATTTATCATGTAGTAAAATGTGGGCATAAATAACAAATGAGTTATAAATCTGAGATTATGCTTGTTCAAAATCACAATTTGTCAATCTGCACTCATTGCTTTGAAGCTCTTCTTTAAGTGTATAAAGTGAAAAGTTAGAAAGGAAAATGAAGTAAATGACAAAAGTGTTCAAATAATATTGTGTTCTGAAGTTTCACAAGGTGCTTTGGAGTAGTAATTCTTTCCACGTGGTAAAAGGCCAGGCAGTTAATTCTGAAACCAGAAACAGGGAACGGAATTTAAGAGATTATTTCCTTTGTCATTTTCAATCTGGTGCACAAAATGAGAGGAAGGAAGGGTGGTCTCCATGTCCTGCCCACCTTCATTGACAACACTTTTGCTTTTATCCTGGTAATATTTCCTTTGAACAAAGGTTTGATACTTGAAAATACTTGAAAGCCATGGATATTCTACTTTTAAATGTGAGGAAAATGAAGACCAAAGGAGTTGGATATTTATGAATGTAACACTAATTGCCTTATTTTATTGTAAACTATTATCAAGTTACTGAAATTATACTTTCACGGAAACTCAAGGCGAAGTTGGTGTAGTATGCTTATAAGTGAACTGCTATTTCTCACAAAGTATGGTTTTTGTTTAAAAAAAAAAAAGAAAAAAATTTCCATAGACTTTTTTTCTTTGAAACTATTTTCTGGGCTAGTCATTAATAGATATATCAAAATAATGTATTTCCATGAAACATCAAAATAGTTGGCAGTTTCTTTTAACCAAAATAATTTTCTATTTAGGACAGAGCAATTGTAAGTGCTATCCCACTGAAGTGTGTAAAATGCTGAGTTAATAATTATTTAACCGAGTGAAATACTTGATGGCTGTTTGACCCACTGCTTTTCAGCTAAAATCCAACACTGGTCCACAGAACCACATTCCTAGTGGCTTGTTCATGTTATGCAGACAGAGATAACACAGCTAAAGATGAATTACATCATCGATTCTTACTGTTTTATAAAACTGATGGGCAATCATTTGTCTCCATTTTGAGATACCACCATTTTATCTTTTGTCAAATTAAATTAATGATACCTAAGTGGATGAACTATTTAAAGTTAGCCACTTAACTGGCTTCCATGACACTAGAGCTAGAATTTATCTGATGTGTTAATTTTCAAAGGAATATATGCACAATTTTATACCCATTAATTAAAAAATTTAAAACATAATCCACAAATGTTGGCAATGGGTCAAAAATAGTCACATGCTGCTTGTTACTTTTCTGGAAAGAATCTGGCAATATTTGCTACTAGCCATAAAAATTCTGAACTCCTTTGTTGAGTAACTTTACTGCTGAGTACTTACCCTTAGAAACCAGCTTAAAAGGAGAACAACACTTAAATACTAAGTTATTTATCACATTACAGTAGTATAAAAGTCTACATGAACTAAGTGATCTGCTACAGGGAAATGACTAATGAATGATTATAAAATAATTCAAAGCAATTATATAACTACTATAAGAAGAGCAGAAAATGCAGGGGGGGGGGACCCTTTTGCAGCCACACAAAAGCCTGTGCATAAGACAGACAGATAGAGTGGACAAAGGAATTCATTTTGTGACTTTTCAGAAGTGATGGCTTTTAGTGAATATGTAAAGTAAGTGCCATTTCTTTTGATGCATGGATAATGGAGCACAGGTAAAACAATAACTGAGCGTCAATCTACAGGGTAGTGATTTTTTTCCTGGTAATAAACTATTTCCTCTAATTAAGTAAGACTGACAAATACTATTCACTTGCTTCCAGAATAAATGACTTCACCTCAATCAGAGGAGTAGTTCAATACTCAAATGAGTAGAAGTGCCTTGGGACAAAGCTGTCAGCAAATGATGAAATTCCTAGTCCTGGCTTTCCATGAAATCAAGGAAAGAAGAGTTTCTAGAATGAGACTCTAAGGAACAAAGAGTTCATGGGGCATCCCAACTGAAGTATTTGCCCTAAAGCAAGGCTTTGGGATTTGGCTCCATTCAGAAGGGATCTGAACTGCCACAACTCCCACTTTCTTCCATGCTGAAGTTATTCCGCTCTCAAAGCAGCCTGCAGGTTCTAGGCTAAGTGAGTATCATTACCTCCTCCACAGGTTGCTGACAA